TGAGATAACAGCTCCATAAATGTCGATTTCCTTATAAAGTGGGAAGAAGGAGTTTGAACTTTCTCCACTAAGTTTGCTTGTGCACAGAGGTCTTTTATAATATAAATTTAAATACACAATCTGTTTTACAATGTTTTCCATCATCTCTCCTCTCCATATGTTCTCCCACTAGGAATCTAATGAGTTCTACATATGAGGGATGACAAGGGAATATGCCTGAGAAATAATTCCAGCAATTACGGCATATGGAGGTTTTGTTTTTGAGTCGCTTTTGCCATGAACATTAGGCAGAGCATCTGGGACCAAATTCTGTCTACCTGCCCATGGACATTAGCAAAATCATCATCTTCCATTTGTAAATTCTGCTGAGGTAATCTGCCATACAGAGAGGACCATTCCATCAGCTTTATGATCAGAGAGCATATTGAAACACAGACCATTTATAGTTAGGAAAAAAATGCTTCTATTCAGACAGAATAGTTTAAGCTGGAAACCATTTTAAGAGAAAATGATAGAGACACATGATCTCTCTCTTTCTCTTCTTTCCAAGAACTATGAAGAGCCTGTGTTAAGTCCCAGGCCACTATGTATTAAAAAACTTTTCTCATCACGACTGATGTTTTGTAAGAACCGACTGGATCCCAGGTAAAGGGAAAATGACCAAAGAAAAGTAAAAAGAACAACAACAACAACAACAAAGAGACACAAACTCTAAAGCAGTAGTAGGAAGGATTACATTCTCCACACCCAAATATTGTCAAGGCATCCAGAATTAATCATAAATAGAGAAACAGACTAAAAAAACCTCCTTTATATGGAGACATAGCTACTAAAACAACTAGCGTACATTTTGCGAGTTCTGGGTATCAGATCGAAATACTAAGACATAAGGTTGGAGAATTCAAGTTCAGTTTTTGTCATGTTTGTTATGACAGTAAGGAGAAAAGAGATCAAGAGATTCAACCAATATGCTCATATGGAGTAAACTTGCAGCTCCACCTATTTGTCATATTCAAGAAAAATGTCTCAGCAATGCAAGTAACATCAGTATTTTTACATGTTGTTTTCCCAGCTGTGCAGTTGAAGCAGTGAAAGCAAAGCCATAAATCCCAAACTACAGGGTCTTTAGGTCACCTCAATGTTATAGGGGAAAAAAAGAATGGCCCTGCTGTTATAGAGGACCTAAACAGAATTTTACAGTTATGAATATAAACATAATTTAAAGAGCTAATATAGAACTTACAGGTAGAGTTACATATGGGCAATAATATTTCTATTACTTGAACTTAGTTGAGCAATAAACCGGTTTTCAGTTCTGAAAACCAGATATATTTGAAGTCTTTCAATCATGGCTAATATTGATGTGATTAGTGATATTTAATCAAGAAAATCTATCATCAAGGAATAACTGGATTTCACTTCCCATTGCCATACAGAATTAACTGTGTAGTAGCAAGGAGGAACTGCAAATAGAGGGAAGGTTCTTTAACCATTAATCTGAATAGGGACAGGCATGTGAACTTTAATGAACTTGCTCATTCAGAATTTTCTGAGCAAAATGCTGAACACTCTCAACTGCAGCTGAAGACCTTATCCAAACCCCACTGAAATCACCAAGGCACCTTGCCATTTCTGCGGTCTGGCTTTGGAGCAAATCCCAGAGACACATGAGACAGACCCTTCCACCACACCAGAGAACAGGCCCAAGGACCTGCTGTCACCACCACAGCCCCAGCTTTGGGATGTTGACTGTAACCCAGTGCTCCCATGCAGGATCCACATCCCCAGAACCTACATCTCTGGTGATGAAACCGTACTACAATGGTTTTGCCTAGCCTGGCATCCCACTAACAGCAGTCTGAAAAAGAACAGTCATTCCCTTATACAATAGTTTCCAGTTGTCACCGTCAGTGGTCCTCCTGCTAGATGGTCTTAAGTTAGTTTTGGATTAAGAGATGTTGGCGACACTTGTCATCACCTATCAAAACAAAGTTATGGGAAATTCAGCCTTTTCATATACTACCTTTTGTAATCACCACATAAGCAGTGCAGATGAATACAGTAGATGCAAAACAAAGAGTCATGGAAGACAATTTTGTTAAAATATTTGCAATGACTGACTGTAAAGTGGTATCAGAGAGTTGCGTAACCTCTTACAGAAACAAGATGTAATTTGGAAATGTTTTCTCATTCTATAAAAGAATAAACAGAAAAGTTTCTCAGAATACAAACTGTGTTACAAAGACTAACAAAGTGATTAGGTAATTCTCATTATTCAGTTTAATACCACTGAAACCATGAGAAATCATTTAATACCATCAGATTGTTCAGGTGTGACATGTTTGATACAGAGCTATCTAACTATTGGCAAAAAGAAACTAGAGATTAAGGCAACACTTCTATTGCAAACCAAAACTGTGCTCCTTTTCCTTGCCAATATATTGGTTAACAACAGATGTGTAAAATTCTAGGCATGAAGGAGGAGGCAGTAAATCAACAGAAAAGGATGCCAATCACATCTTTCTGTTTTGTTGTTATAGACATCCATGCATTACCTGGAAACTATAAAAGCCAGCTGTACAATCATAATGAGCAAAAAAACCCTGCATATATTTTTATGAAACCTAACAAAATAACATGCTTTATAGTAGATTTTTAGTTTCAAAACAAATCTATCTGATGCACTCCGTCTCCAGTTTTGAAGCATGTAGATTCTACACAAAGCACAGCTGCATTGGCTTGGTGAAGTACTGAAACCCTACAGCAGTAACGTTCTTAAGCAGAGCTGGAGGACCCAAGATTTAAAAGATATAGGATAGACAGGAAGATTTAAAGGATATAGGATAATAGGTGGATTTAAAGGTAGTAACAGTGGCATCTGCAGCGGTGCTGTTTCAAAGGTTAGCACTTATTTACGACCAATAAGCTGGATACAACCAAGACATAGTCTTGAATGTTTTTAAGCTCTATTTTAGATTTATTAGATCTGATTTGGAAATTTTTTTGCATTAAGACTCATATCAGGATTTCCTTTTTGTTTTGTTGAACTGATCCAATACCTTTCATTTTGAAAGGTTTGAACAAAGCAGTGAGTTTTCTTTCCCTGGCAAGGCACTACCGTATGGAACTGCAGAAGAGCAACCCATATTCTCCTGCAGTTCAGAGTTCTTGACGATTACTAAATTCAAAGGGTAACATGGATTTCCGTCTGATCATAGTCTGATCATCTTTGTAATTGGATGAAGATGGGTATATCAAATAATCTGGGAAGTAGTATATAAGGAATAAAGGAGTAATTGAAGCAGGATTCATCTTCACATGCCTACATGAATGCCCACAGCTGATCTAGTCACCTGTACTCTGTTTTCAAACGCAGCACTAAAACAGGTGCTATGGACAGCTGAACTATGGTTCCCAGCTTGCTTCGAGATGCACAAGCAGCGTTCACTGTTGAACTGGCTTTTCTTCTTTTAAACGGTTCAACAAATTAACCTGAAACATTACCTTTTCAGGAATGTCTACCATGTTCTGTTGCTACTGAAAAGGTCTAAATGAGAATTTTTCAGGATTCCCATTTTGTGAAGGAAAAAAAAATTATTCAGTCTGGCCTGAAAACAACAGTACGCCCACCAGAATTTGCCATGACAATGCTAGAACAGTTGTGCTAGATATCAGTTTCCTTCAGAAAAAGACCTTTCAAAGTGGTAGGAAACATTCCCAGCTCTACTGAATACAAAATTAATATAACCCTTGAGATTCTTATTCACTGAAAAACCATTATTTTGTTCCATGGGTAAACAGAATAGATCTCCAAAGCTCACATCCATACAGGGAACTCTATTTTATATTACAATTTTATTCACTTGTTATGAATACTCACAACATTAATCTACTGCAGATAATCTATTCAGTGTATTTGAAAATCCATTTATTTTCACTTATTGATATGCATGTGTTACACTTGTATATAATACAGTATTTTCAGAGTTGATTTAAGAACAAAGAAACAAAGAAAACAAATATTGAGAAGCATGATGTAGATTTTTGACCAAAGAGAGGCCATATTCAGATTTTCCAAAACAGCACATTTACACTTTGCACTGTCCCAGACAATCTCTTTAAGATGCTACCTTCTGTCCCGCACCTGTTAGCACAAATCCATACAATATTAATCCATCCTAAAATACTGAGATACCTAGCTGCTGCTACAAACAGTTTATCCTAATTAAATTTTAATCAGAAAATAATATCTTTCCCTGCCAACATTTTTTATTATTTCTCAGTAGAATGATAGAATATACTTCTCAATTGTATTCCCCACAGTCATTTATTTTATTTAAGCTCTCCTGTGCAATAATACAGCAGAGGTAATGAAATGGTTTTGGAACAGCAGGGGCTACTGTGACAGGCAGAGCACTCCAGGGTGTTCATTCATCATGGAACTTAATATATAACTACCTAGCCATGTCAATGGCTTGTAATGATAAAGTAATTTCCCTCTTTTTCTGGGAGTCTGGTAACCACACGGGACTTTTAAATAAGCTTGCCCCTATATATTTTTGACTACCATTAAGTGTGCGTGGTTTTCATGTCAATGCACCAAAGCATACACTCAGAACTCCCTCACCCTCTCCAGTCAGCATGCTTATGCAGTGTCACTAAAAGGAATCGCCAAATTTCTGTTGTATCAATACTACAGATGGTACAATATACATTAAATGGAGTATAAAATTATACATTCTGAAAAAAAGCTCATAGATGCTTAAGGCCTTTAAATATTGAGGATTTTTTTTCATGTAACAGCACATCACAAAGTTCAAAAATTGCTATTGAAACAGAAAATAAAAAAGTAAATGTGATTTTGGCAAGGATCAGATCTGAATTGGATGACTGTAAGCAAGCAAAATACCCACGAGCCATAAATCTGGGAGGGCACTAGGACTTTTTTCCTTTATAGCAAACAGACTGAGCAGACATCTACATAAGCATCCAACAGTACCTAGGTTCAAGCAAGAGATTTTATTTTTTAATAAAAAGACAAATATTCTGAATGATTACCGTCCAATTTCATAATTGCAAAACTCATTTACATCCCTGCCTACCTTTTTAAAAAGGGATGAAATACCATCATTCACTGCTTACCATTAATTTCAATGAATTAAAGGTTGGGAAAGTAAAGTACATATCAGTAACACCCATCTCCTTCAAACTAAATGGAAATGGGTATCTTAAAGGTATAAAATGCCTTATAATGGAAGTGGTAATTGAGTTTTGACCACTACTTTTTTAACTGCCAAAGAGCTGCAGTAGTTAGTTAGCCTTAGGGAAACATGTCAACCTGACTATACATTCTAATATGACTCATGTATTCAGATAACTATTATTTGTCAACAATAATTATTAACAATGGATATATATTTCCATTCCTATAACAAAAGCAACTTCAAGATGTTGAAAAATGTACCTTTGAGAGCTCCAAGATTAGAATACAAATAAAAATGTCTAAAAATGCGCCATGCCAGACGACAATTTCTGCAACAGAAATTTAATTAAAGCAGTGTGCAGTCCCACCAGCAATCTGAATGGTGGACCAGGGATCATTTTAGAGAGGAGGAATCAATATATTCTGGAGGTTGACTTCATCAAAATGAAAAGCCACTGGTCTGGAATGGAGAATCCGAAAGACTGCTGCTTTTCTGCACCTTTTGAATATCAGCTCTTGTGATTACAGCTGCAAATTCCTCAGCAAGTGCAATTTTACAAGTGTACACAGTTCAATCAGTTGAAATCTTTGTGACACAGAAGTTCAAAATAACTTTCCAGTAGTTTTGATCTCAAGGCTGTTGCTGATTACAAGCCAGGTTCTCATTGAAACAATTGATTCTGAAGGATACACCCCAGCAATATAAAATTTCACTTCAAGGATTGCCTGGAAGAATGAAATTCCTATGTGTTGTATTTAATGTTATCAGCCTTGAGACTGACTTGATTTGTCTTTAGCTATCGGGTTACCTGTAAAGAAAAAGAAAATCAGAAAATCAAAACTGTACATAGAGAATCTATTTCCAAAGTACTGGAAACAGACTGAAATATTAGATCTCTGTCCAGCAAAGCTCTTTCAACTGTTTTTAAATAAGTGAATAATTCCCGATGGTAATAGATGGGATTGCTCCCCAACTTAAATTGTGTGTTTAAGTGCTTTGTTGGAATTGGACCTGACAAGGAGAAATTGAAATGTGACCATGCTTAAAAATATAATAAAAAAATCTGAAGGTCATAAATTACCAACCCACAAATGTCAAAAGCATTGGTTTCAAGGAAAATTTCTGTATTTTGTTCATTCTTTTCAATGTTAGAATTTCTCCACGGTAACAACTATGCTTTTAAGATGTTAGCCATTGAGTATACCAGTGACTGATACTGGAGATGTATTCTTCTGTTCTGTGCATGCTACTTTAAAATGCAATGTCCTGTTAAGGGCTAAATGCATCTTAGCAAGCAATAATCACTGCGTGGAGAAACAGGACAAAAATCATGCATACAGAAAAAAGAGATAGATATATCCTGTTATTCACAAGGTATAAAATAACTACCAAGGAGTTCACTTAGAGTGGTTTTGCTGAGCCTAACATGAAACAAGAGTGGAACAGAAGGACCAGAGAGAAAGGGTGGGAGACAAAGCATTTCACAGTAATTGGACTTTCCCTGTGTCTGATTTGGATTTTAAACATTAGAAGAAAAAAAAAAAAATCCATCATATCAAAAAAACATAACTTTGAGGAATATTTCTGCTGTGTCAGTGGATACAATTAATGATCATGTAACCTTTTAATATCAAATTGTGTCAGGGGACAACATCCCAACTCTTGAGGAACAACCCATTGGAACGGTCACAATAACACTATGACGTCAAGGGGCATATGCTTTTCATTTTAATCATAGAGAGAAGGGTCATGCTCCTTAATGATGAAACATTCTTTTGCCCTCAGCAAAACTGTTTGCATACAGCTCTCATCGGCTCTGCAGAGCACAAACGCAGAGCAGAATATTAGAAGGACTGTTCAAGGAGTTCATTACTTCGGTTTGCCTTCTCCACCAAGTTGTTTCTAGGAACTGCACTTAAGAAGGCAATAATAAAATTGTGCTTTGTGATTTTTATGATACATGGGTTTATTTATTACACTGCTCTTGTTTTGTTTTGTTCTTGCTGTTGGAAACAGCCTCATGTGGCCCCTTCTATAGTGGAAGATTGCCTGAAAAAATAATGAAGAATTAATTTAAAAGTCAGACAACATATTTCTATGCCCTGCACCAAAGCTCAAAAGGCTGACACAGCATCTTATTGTTATTTATTTTTTGCTTTATTGTAGCAAGCTGGAGTTCTACTCATGGACCCAGGTGCCACTGAGCCACATAATGTAAAATCACACATCTTCTGATCCTATCTGCAGGTGGATTTTTATTAGCTTCACTTGATATAGATACATATATATATATATAAACCTGTGGTAAATCAACTGATGCAAAGCACACTGAAGACAGATCAAAGGATGTGAGACTCCCAAAGAGGCCATGTAGATGCAGGGTCGAAGCTTCCTACTTTTCCAAACAACAGAGTAGACCAAAACCAAAGCAGAATCAGAGGACAGTTTCCTCAGAGGCACAACTGGACAGGCATAGTCACTGGAACTCAGCTGAATTCTCTTTTCTGCCTACATACACACAGAGTAGACCTTTGCTATTAAAAAGAGGGGATGCCAGCTGACTTTTGAGAAATGAAGTTGACCATGACCCAGCAATGTGCCCTTGCTGCAAAGAAGGGTAATAGTAACCCGGGCTGCATTAGACAAAGTATTGTCAGCAGGTAGAGGGAGGTGATCCTTCACCTCTGCTCAGTACTGCTGAGGCCACACCTGCAGTAGTGTGTCCAGTTTTGGGCTCCCCAGTACAAGACAGACATAGAGCTACTGGAGAGAGTCCAGTAAAGGGCCACTAAGGCGCCACTAAGGCAAATAACGGACTGGAGCATCTTCATATGAGGAAAGGCTGAGAGAGCTGGGACTGTTCAGCCTGCAGAAGAAGCAGCTCAGCAGGGATCTCATCAATGTGTACCAATACCTGAAGGGAGGGTGCAAAGAAGATGGAGCCAGGCTCTTTTCAAGTGGTGCCCAGTGACAAGACAAGAGGCAATGGGCACAAACTGAAACACAGGAGGCTCCCTCTCAGGAAACGCTTTTTTATTGTGAGGGTGACTAAGCACTGGCACATGTTGCCCAGGGAGGTTGTGGAGTCTCCATCCTTGAAGATATTCAAAAGCCATCTGGTCCTGGGCAACCGGCTCTAGGTGGCTCTGCTTGAGCAGGAGGCTTGGACTTCCAGAGGTCCCTTCCAACCTCAACCATTCTGTGATTTATTATTTCTATGACATCCAGCTCTGCCAATGCATGGGCTAAGGTGATATACTGCAGCTAGCAAAAAGAGTATTTTCACACATACACGACTGCTCAGTTACATGGCTGTTTGGAAGTGCAAATGTGTTCTCTTCAGCCAGAAAGAAACTCAGTAAAATCATAATCTGCAGGCCTATCTGCTCCCCCCCATCTAGCTCTACAACTCCGTGGTGAAAATATCCCTATAAAAGCAATATACACTGTTACATAGAATAAATAGGTGATATAAAGAAGAAAAAAATCAGATAGCCATTCAAATCTCTGCTCTATAACAGGTGGCTAATCATATACAAAGGTCATTTTGTTTATACAGACTGCACAGGAAGTCAAGCTACATATTCCTAGTTTTTACAATTACACGATTGGAGTTTTTAACCGCTTTCCCTTGCCAGAATTTTTATTATTCCGCCTGCCCTCTTTTTTCTTTTTTTTCTTTTTTTCCTGTTAACTTCCAGGTCACACAGTGCTACTCTGAGTAAGATGCATAGTGGTCCACATTTGCCTCTATGTAAGAAAGTAATACTTGTTATGTGCAAGCACAGACCAGACATTAACATTAATGGAAATTATATATCCATACACATTAGGGAGAGAATAGACCTCTCGAATGCTAAAGGCAGTTTCATAAAGAAGCAATGAAATTTTAGCTAATATCTACCGATGGTGTTCCCAGAAATGCTTAATTTTGGATATAGTAAAAGCTATTTGGTTTGAGTGGCTAGGAAGCAAGGTATTGTGCCAAAGGTCTTTAAAGCAAAAGGGGGACTGATAGCATTATGTGTCTGATCTTTAAAATCCTAAGAGAACAGTAACACACTGAATGGGTGCAAATCAAGTCTAATCAATTTTTCAGTTAATAATTAATATGTATGGAAAATTAACTTTGCTGCTGTTTAACAATACAAATGAAAAAAAGGACATAAAACCTTTAGCATCCTAGGTGTTGATTTGAATTAATTTGTTCATTCTTGGAACATGATTACTCCCTTTATGCTAATACATTTTTTCACATGGTTGTTATATCATAGACACAATGCATTAGACTCTCTTCACTTTCTTGTACTAAATGTGCAATTAAAGTATAATTACTCTGCAGTTGCAGACTTTTTAATTTAAATTAGTGAGTGGCTGCTGTAAATTGGCTGTAATTGTATGTGAACTCACTTGTTTTATTTTAAAACAACAATATATAATTAAATGCAACTGAAGTTTTCCACATTTCTTCTGCTCACTAAATGTTCAAAACAGATTCAGTCTTTGGGTAGAACGTTTTTGCCAGAATGGAGCAGAGATGAAAAGACCTCAAAGGCAGTGCATTGCAAAAGCTACAAGCTCAAGTGTTTTTCTGGACAGCCTCCATTCCAGTGCTGCTGACAATGGGTGAAAAATGTCCTCACTTGTGAAATCCCCACAGCTGATGAATACAGCAGATAATACCATCTATTCCATAAGAATAGATTCCCAATAAAAACCCAGCCTGATACTTTTCCTCAAGACTTCCTTCTGCCTTAGAAGAGGAAGGGAGGAAAATCCAGACTATAGGATGTAAAGAATGGCTGAGTGAAAATTCTCTGAACAGTAAAGCACTTTTCCTTACTTTCATGCACCTAAGCATCGAAGTTACAGGATCACAATTAGGTATAGTACAAATCTTCTGTTTCTTCAGAGAAACAAATGTATTACTGATTATTTGCTAACTACAGAATAGTTTATACATGCAAATGAGGCACATAATTAATTATTATTTGATAATGTTAGAAGAAAATAGGTAACAATGTACAGAATATTGAAATAAGTGTGTGCTGGAACATTTCATAACACAACTTTGTACATTACTATTTTTTTGACTGGCAGATCTTTCAATTTTTTTCTATGTTTATCACAAACCATACACAAAATCCATATTAAAAACAGACTCTTGAGTTTGCAAAGTCGAGCACTTGAAAGTTAGCAGCTTGCCTTTCTATGGGTGCCCTTGCAACTCCAATTCTATCTCTTTTCCATGCACAGTAAACAACAGAATTTAGTGGGGGAGGAGTGTTGGAGGGAAGCCTGTTATAATGTCGTCAGGACTATGTATCAATGCAAATGCAGAAAGGGGGAAATTTTTAAGCCGGTGTTTCTCTCCTCCACAGATGATTCAGCAGTATGATGGACCTTCTCTTCCAGGTTTTTGCCAAAGAATATAAATAAACACAAGAAATAATAGAAATAACTTAATACTGGGGTTTTTCTTTTTAATTAGAACTGTTCCATCAACTGTATAGGATTTTTTTGTGTGATCGTAGCCTGACTGTCATTTAAGCATACTCAAGAATCATCAAGCTATCTTTTTTTTTTTCCCCTGAGATACGTTAAGACACAGAAAGGAAATTATTTTTTTAAAAAGCAATTAATAGCTCATCCTGAGCTAAGTGGAATTTCATGAGACAAAGAAAAGCCATCTTGGCACCCCTAGCATTCTTCTGTAAAATATTAAAGACTTGTGGGAAACAAAAATGGTGTGGGGATTTCTTTAAAAAATAAAAAGGGTCTCACAAATATATTTAATGAACAACATGAGATAAGTGAAATACAGGGAATGCCACAAGAATCCCTTAAATAAATGCTTGAAGAAAGAAGCCTAAGAAATGGCTTGAAGAAACGCCTAGCTATGGATTGTCCTCCAAGACATGGAGATAAGACAGAGATCTTGTACCAAGACAGCCCTTATTTGTATGCAGTACCTTTCCAGCCATTTTGTGTCCTTATTTTTATATGCTTTTTTATACTGTACGTAAACAGACCACAAAAAAGAATTAATAAAACACGGTCAACAAAGTGATTCTTTAGAAAACCTTTCCTAATAAGGAATGGACTTGAAGAGGGCTATATCAGTCATATTTTTCCATGACATAAATAACTGTGTTTTGGTAGTGAAAAGTCACTACCTAATACAAATATTACAATGCAGAAACAGAAGGGCCCATACAACCAGAAACAAACATCTGCCAGTGCATTTTTTCCACTTACGCCCTCTGCGAATGAGGTCAAGGTTGGAAATTATTTCAACAGATGGATGTGCACTATTTCCTGGAACTTCAAAATCCATACACTGTCTTTGCCATGCACTATCATTCATTCGTGGCTTATGAAAGCAAATGACAGTTTGGATTGCCACTTGTGCATGTTTATTCACTGAAACAGTTCAACTTGTAAGCTTGGAAGGTCCTTCTGATCTAATGCTACTGCCTTGTACCAGTGATACTCAAAAGTATTTTGTAAATGTTAACAAAGGACAGGCTCACAATTTCCTCACAGCTTGAGAATCCTGTAATTTATTTTCTAAAGAAAGGGGGAAGCTGGACAAAAAGAGCAGTTAAGGGAATTTTTGCAATAGGGCACCTATGTGCACATGCACTTAACAGTAGATAGGTGTGGATTTGGGTGTTTATGTTGGATAACTAAGTTTCTAGGTGCACAAGAAAACATTACAAAAGTCTGAGAAACGTTAAGGTGATTCAACCATATTTCAAGGGTATGCTTGATAAAGTAACTGCAGCAGAGACCTGTAAGTTAGGAAACAGGCTCTTGTTTCAGTCTCACAGACTGCTATTTGACTTGGGCTAATGACAAAAGGCGAAATTTGAGTGATTTGTGAGCAGTCTGGAAAACAGATATTTAATGATAACTATATGGATTCATTTACCTTCAGTGAGGATTACACATTGATAGACTTTTTTTCAAGTCTTCACATGTTTC